TTACGCAAAAGCACGTGGTGCTACGGCATGTTAGCAGGGGTCCAAGGCTCCTCAGCGGCTCAAAGATTGGAGGGGTGGTGGTACGCAAACAGGTTCTAACCCTTAGTTAGAAACACTGAAATACCTGCTAATAGTAACTGAACTAGAGACCCCTCCTGTGGCTAAGAAGTGCAGTTGCAGATCTAATGCTACCTTCAGAACTGCATTTTATATCCTTGCTCATTAAAATGCAGCGAAAGAGGAGTTAGATATCAAAGCACGCACTCCGTATTTCATGAATACATCTTGTGGCCATGCACAAGAGGAAGAACTAGCCACAGGAGCTCTGAAAGCCTAAGTGTGGAGAAGTACAACACGCAGTGTTCTTACATCTGATCAAGAGTCTTTCCCTGCAATAAATACAAATTAAAACCAGAAAGCTCGTGTTCTCAAAGCACCGCAGCTGACCACAGCCCATGCAACTAGCTCCAAGCCCTGACGGAGGTACTCCATTAAAAATCTGACTTAACCTCAACAGTGTCTCAAGACACGCAGATGCCAGACCGTATCTGTTTATCAAACTATTACTTAAAAGCCCTTCCCCGAAGCACTTTTGGTGAATGCTTTATCTCTACTGATTCTACAGGTGGGACCTGACTTTGAATTTTCAACAGCAATTGGAGTTTAACGGCACAACTGTGCACGCCAGCAAAGGAACCTCGGCAGTTCTTTAAAAGCATTTGCCCTCTTAAAAATCAGATTAAGAAAAATAATGCAATATATCATTTGAAACTATCACATAGCTATTTCTACCATCCTTTTGATGTGCAGTATGGATTTATTTTATCTACTTTAGGCAAAAATGAAAATGTAGCTGCTACTTGCCAGCTGCATATATTAGTTTGCTCGTAATTCCGCAGCTAAAAAGCCACAGTGCAGCTCTCCGCAGGTAAATCCACGCTCACTAATAGGAACCAGTGGTATGAAAGCTCAGCCACTGCGAAGTGGACGTTTCTGGTTCTTCTCCAGTTTCATGAAAGCATCCTGCATACAAATGAGACCTTGGTTAGGAAAGGTGAACCATCCACATTTTTGTATGGGTGGCAGTTTGGGGTTAGGCATTTGCAGCCCTTTCTATGACTGCTGCATATGGCTGTAAACACGGTGACAGCCCAGCTTTGTCCCTAAGCCCACAGCACTACTCATCTGCTAATTTAACACTCCCACAGTACCAGAGAGGAAAAAACCCTTCAAAAATCATAAATATCTTTAATTACAAGACTGGCAAGGCAAGTTAAGAAAAAAAAACCCAAGATTTTGCTTTAAGATCAGGTGTAAAAGTTGCCTTCAGACGTGGAAGTCTCTATGACAGGAAGCCCAAGTACTCAGTGGTCAGCTACTAACACTATGGACCGATGCTGTGCTCGGTATGAAATTGCTAATTTATACTTTAGAAATGTCATTCACCACCAGGAAAACAACCTGGGTATAACACCTCTTCTACTAGAAAGCATAGTGCTGCCACAGAGGCTCTCCTAGAATAAAGACACCAATTTTAAGTGAAAACCCCAAAAGTTCTGCCTCAGCACTGGAAGCACAGAGTATTTTCAACCACAGGTGACCTCAATCCATAAAAGTGTCACACGGCCAGAGCCAGAAATGCTTAGTTCCCACTTAGGTTCCTGAAAAGAAGCCAGCAGGTTAGCGATAGCAAGCAGCTCCTAGTCAGGTGTTTATGTAGGAAGCACTGGATGCTGAGCTTTTCGCATTCCGATGATGACAGATTTATTTATGCCTGATAGTAGGAGATTTGCACTGACATGAAGTGTTTCAAAGGTTTTTTAAGAGTGAGAATCTTCAGGTACATGACAGCTATAGAAAATTTAAGAGCCCATTCATGTAAGGGGTGAAGCACTTAAAAAAAAAAATCCAACAACAAAGTTTTAATGTTTAAAATAGCAAATTAAAAACCACATTGCATTCCAGCATGTTATGTCCAAAGAAAATCCTGCATTTTGAGAGATGGATAGAATTCTATATTCCATGTAGAATTATTTTATCTGGAAACAAAGCTCTACAGCGTGACCTTCACTTAGACTGATTTCCACCACAGAAAAGCATCAGCCTGTTGAGTACCTTCATGCCAATTGTATAGGAACAAAAGTTGAAAATTTCTTTCAGTGTGAACAACTTCATATCTAGAATCCTCCAGAACACCAAGGCCTTCCAAATATCCTTTTGTTTAGGTCTAATAAGTTTGATCTAAGAGCAAATGTTATTAGGAAACATTTTGTACCAGAAACTTAAAATAATAAACAGCTGCCATGTATGGATCCCTCTCGAGATTTCTGCCTTCCAAGGACTCATTAATCTCCTCATCCTTTTGGGAAGAACACAGTTCTTAATTCGTTTAATAGACAGCAGCCAGCTACACCAGGCGTATGCAAATTATGATGTAGAGAAGAAACTCCACCCCTCTCCCCCCACCATACATGTGGTAAATCTGCACTTTGAGCCAACTTTAAATACAGAATAATGAACCAGTAATTATCTTGTAAGTGAAACAACACTAGTTTGTATTCTTCCCTGAAAAACACTTCTTTTCAGAAGAGAAAAAAGGACTGCTACAGAAACACAGCAACATTCAAATCCTTTAAAACAAAAGGTAGATTATTTAATGCATTAACGATGTTAATCTGAAGATAAATAAATCCACAACAGACTTTTAAGGTTCTTTTGAGATTTCAGTTTTCTTTGCAGAGAATATTTCTGATATTATACAGTACTGAGAGGGTGTTCTTTTATTTTCTTAATGTCCAGGTGAAAAGCAAAGCTCAGTTCTCTCTGCTCTCTTCGTGAAACTCCTCAATGCCCTATTCCAGGCGTGATTCTTTCATAAGCTTTTACTTGAAAGCGGAGTGGTGAGCAACATTAATTTCAGGAATAACTGGATGGTTTGGTCCCTGAGTCATCTTCTTGAGAGCCCATACTCTGGAAGGGAGAGAGTTATTTCTTTTCAAAAACAGGTCTGAAGGTTTACCTTTGAGACACAGTTCTTTGAAGTTAACATGTAGGAAAATGAAGTGTGATAAAACAACATGCATTTCCTTTTTGTTTTAAAGCATGATGTTTATGCACATATTATTTAGATGTAATTATTAACAGTGTAAATATGACATCCAGTGCAACATGGCACTGAATCTCTTACATACTCTTACAAGACAGTAAATCAATTACCTTCTGCACAAACTGAGGGTTCACAGTGATCTCTTGATCCATGGCTTTCAGTCGTTCATCAAGCTCTATACATTTCAGCATCTTAAAAATATATTAAGTTGATTACTTTGTTTAGCTTGTACATGATCTTCAGGATATTTCATGGCTGTGCTATGTGGAACCAGTACCTTTTGCCATCACAAAAGCTCCATATGTCAAAATGTTCTCACCCCTCATCACCCAGACAAAAGCGTCAGACCATTTTTTTTATTCCCTTATTTTGATCCATGGCCTTCTAACAGTCCTTTTTAAGGGCACTGCTAGACAGTCCCATGAGGGTCAACCACCTCAACCTACAGGCAAGTTATCAACAGCTAGTGGAAGCGATCCTTGAAGTCTAAATAAACAATCTTTCTAATCTATTAAATTCAAGTAAGTTCCCATCACCACATTAAGCAGTCAGTCCACTGAAACATCCCAAGCTGTACAGAAGACACAACAGGAAATGCATTGACATAATTGACAATCAAACTAAAACCTTTAAATACTGGTGCTGTGAAATAGTCGAATAATGATTCATAGCCCTCAAGCTCACATGTGAGTTACCTACACTGGCTTCTCCCAGCAGCTCTCTGATTACAGACTAAGGTTCTTCAGTAGGAATTCCACAAGCAGTAATAGCATAAAGATTTACCTCCTGATCAATGTTATGAAGCATAGCTGGATTGTTATATTTTTCAGGATTATCATGGAAACAGACCATACCATCTTTCTGATTAATACTTGCAAAGATTTCACCATCTTCTATCTGAAATGAGAGAGGATTTAATGTAACATATCACTAAGAACAGAATTTCAGGTAACTACAACACACGGACTCCTTGTGGGATCATCTTTTAACTTGTTTGCTTTTTATTTCCCAACAGCTTCCCAAAGACAAATCATGCATGCTTTATCTTAGGCACACAATATCTTTTAAGATTTTTTTATAACAGTCTAAACACCACAGCAGACTGACAGTATTTCCTTCACCTTGAAAAAGAATCATTCTTCAGCCATTCAGAACATGCACTGCCAACCCAAACACTTAGAGTCTTAAATTGTATCGGCTTTTAAATTAGAACAGTTCAGCCAAGTCAGAAGTCTTACCATGTGGAGGACGTATTTTTCTGCTTCTTGGGGCCCCGACAACTGCACTCGACTTGCCATGTCTTGTAATGACAATGTTAAAAATGTCTGAAATTTAGGAAGTATTAAATGATTAAAACTAGACACTAAGAACTTTCCCTATCCATCCTTCATGGCCTATGCAATCTTATTCTGAAGTCTGATGGGAAGAAACAAGTGGATCACATCGTTATTACTTATAAAAGCACCATGAGAGTGGAGTCGGTTCCTCCTCCAAAGATATCCATTCATTACACTGCACATGTGTGCAGAGCAAACCCACAGAGACATTACTCCATTGCTGCAATTCCATTTTACCCCAGACAGTCTTGACCACATCCAACCTCCTCCCTCACCTTTCTACATGAATAAGGCAACTGATCCCTTAAATTTCCTTCAAGAGATACATGTATTGAATTACTTTTGAGGTTAGTTCTACCGCAACAAACATAATTCAAGCTTGCAAAAAAAGACCTTTCCCCTGATCACGTTTAAGGATTAATCTCTCAGCTGAAGGAGCACATCACTCTACTGCTGCTGTTTTTCCTTTTAGTTCAGACACTTCCAAAATCTGTCCCACTCACTCTTCTCTAATGAAGTAACCTGTAAAGTTCAGGTTTCCTGTTTTTCCAATAGAGATGAAGGTCATTGGGTAGCAGCGCTCACAACTTTTTTGATTATGTATTAAAATCTCACAGGCAAACCCCTCTGATAGCCAGACATATTGAACCACCTGTTAAATGCATAAGTAGCCAACTGAATTGGTTTTTATATAGAGCATTTTAATCTCATTTGTTTCTCAGACACAAATAATTTCTCTGACACTACTACATTATCATTTTGCTCTGAATTGAATACATTTCAGACATACACTCTTGAAGAAAAACTAATCACAATTTCTCAGCAAAGCAAAACCACTACATCTTACCTTGGTTAGCCTCTGAATATTCTTTTTGTAGAGAGATGACAAGCATTGCTTAACCAGCCCCATATTGTTATCCCTTGTGAATGTTTCACTGTGTTTGTTCACCAGATTTCGAAGCTCTGAGGGTTTATTGGTTGAATAAACTTGCGCTAATTCATGGTAAGCATTGCTAAGGGGCTGCAATTAGAAAAAAGAGAACTCTGCTTAAAACACACGGTGTCCAACGAGCCTCACAAAATCTATTCACTACTGCAACATTAGAAGCCACGGAGGGATAAAAGTAAATTTAAGTAGCTCAAACATCTCTTGTAATAATTATGGGATCCCCATACATAGCTTTACAGCAATGATAGATCCTCATACACTAAATTTGTATTTCTGCAATACAAGATTTGGTAAACATCATTCAAGGTCCTCTGTATGACAGTTCTATTTATCGGAGAGCAAGAAAAAGTCCATTCACAAGACTTACCTTAATGAATCTACCAACTATCTGGGAAGTGTATTTTGGTAGCTGCTGAACTTTGCCAAGTAGTATCAAAGAAACTAGAATATACTTTTTATATGATTCCAACATAATATGACTGACTGCCATAGCTGGAGTAGTTATTGCCTAAGCAAGAAAGAAAGAAATGGAATAGAAATTTAGTATTCTTCCTGGTAGATCCTGGTAGCTACTGCATTAACAAAAATCTCATTTTAAAGCTGCATGCAGAAAGGATACAATAACATATGAAATTCACCTTTGAGCATCAAAGCTTAGCTAGCTTCTGTCAAAATTATCCAAAAATGTCCTAAAAAGGTAAATTCTAAACTCAAAACATATCACATTACAGTGATGCCTACCTTAAAATAACCCTGTTAAGATCAAATCAAAACTTCTTTCCTTGGTACGTATCTAACATTGTACTAGAAATCACCTGTAGCTACTTGTTACCAGGAATGATTATAGAGTTCCTGTAGAACCTGGATTTACACAGATCCTTAAAAAGGTTTTACAAAGCTATTACATCATCAGATCTCATATTTAAGTATGCTGAAAGAGGTCTGCAGAATAGGGAAAAGGGATTTTAATTTACTATGATACTGCTAACTGCTCAAGAGCTGACCCTTGTTTAGAGAAAAGAAAAACTCTGCACCAGTTTATTTTGCACATTTGACAGCATTTCCCCCCACACACACATCTGAGGCTTTCCCAGTTTGGATATTCTCTTCTTCCACAGGGAAAGTAAAAGCATCAGATATTGTCATAGCCTTGAAGAGGCGTAACTGCACTCATAAAATGAGCAAAGGTCTTAGCAAAACCACTGAACTATTTTTCTTTAACAACACACAATTCTGCATGTCAGCCTGTGAACTGTTTCTATGCGAGCGGTAATAAGCAGGCATCTGAAAAATATTTATAGTGAGATAAATTTAACATCAACCTTTGAGTTGCATAGTTTTGTGGTGCACTAGTTACTTGGCTGTGAGAGACCTTTTTAAAGGAAAACACCTCTTAAGACAGTCTGCTTGTTACTTCACTTTACAAAGCACCGTTCAGGCTGTACCTTTCATAAGAGCTAAGAGTGAACACTAACCCAAATCAGTTTTTCTGTGTTATTATGATGAACAGCAGCATAACTCTGTTAGTAGAATTATAACCCTACAGTTAAGAATTAAAATAATTGGAGATTGCTCGTAGTTTCTATCAGGTTCACGGCTTTTACGGGTATCCTTGGTGGCAATCCAAAGATGATACATTCTCTCAGCACTATTACACATGCTACAATTGATCACATTTTAGACTTATCATTAAATTTAAAGTTACCTGTTCATAAAAGTAGAGTGCTCTTTCAAAGTTCTTTAGCCCAGTGTATATCATGCCACCATAGTAGTAGTAACATAAAAAGTGCTTTGCATCATATGCCCCATTCTCTTTACAAATATCCATCATGTCCACATCTAGATACGGGAGGGCAGGTTTAAAGCATTTTGCTAACAAACAGAGCTACAAGAAAATAAACCAAATTTTCATGAATTAGACATTTTCATTCAAATTTCCATGAGGAATACGTTGAAACTAAATTCATCTAGTACTATTTAATAAATCTCAGTCTTCCAAGAGTGAAAACACACTGCATGTCAGTAGTGCTGTAACACAGATTATTCACTGTATCACGATATTCTAAAAACCCTCAACACCGATTATGAGTTGTTATACGTTATCTGAATCCTAAAGAAATTAGACTCTGACATAGCTGCTTGAAACTCCAGGCCTCCCAGCCTACCGTGCTGGCAGCACTAAATAGTGCACTAAACATTCCTGTCAAACCCTAAATCCCAGGAGCCAAGAATGAGACAGAAGTGCAAATCCAGGCCAAAGACACCGAGACAAACATGCCTTTTGTCAAACTTGAGCAAACAGTATCTGGATATTACAATTACACTGCCTAAGAGAAGCCTGTTGGGTGACTTTCAGCCCAAAGAGAAGGGAGGCCAAAGGACTTTCAGAAGTCATCAGCAAAAACCAAATATCTGGGGACTGAACATTTACCATTAACAAAAGGGGATTTTATTTCAGTATATCATATTTATTACCGGAAAAAAATAAAACAGTTAAAAGCTATTTTTATACTGCAATACGGGGATATGCATTTCCTCAAAGCGTTATGTGTATTTTACAAGCTTTTGCTCTATAAAAAGCCCTTATGCTCCCCTTACCTGGCAGAGATCTGCGTGTATTGAGGTCAGCTGGTTTGTGTTCATCTGCATCTTGTCTATGGCTTGTCTGAGAATGCTAATTCCTCGCAGGGGCTGTCAGAAATTACATCTCTTTCAGATAATTTCTCATAGATGGCAGCACATTGGATCTTATGTTGACACTTACAAATGAAAAATAACACTAATTGACAGGTTCCATTAAGTAATAGTTAACTTGAGGTTCCCTTTATGTAGAATACTGCAGTCTCTCAGAAAATAAAATAAACCTTGGCTATACAACTTCTCCTGATAAACCACATAAAGTCATAAATTCTCCTCCACAAAGCCAACCTCATCAGGAATACAGTAATTTGTATCAATAAGAAAACCTTTCTCGACTTCATGACACCATCTAAACTCCCACCAAATAACAAAGGCAAGGCTCTCGCTTTACTCCACTTAGACTGGACTTAATCTCCACTTCTATTTCAGGCTAGATTTTGCTAAAACGGCCTCAAAAAGTCAGTATCTTAGCAACAAAAACATTGGTCAAATATTTCTTAATGAAGTTTCCTTTACATTTTAAGTCATTTCATTAAGAACGTTACATAACACTGGGGAGAATATCAATGACTCACCAGCACTAATAATTTTTGCAGCTCTCTTCTACTCACACACACATTATCTGAAGAACATTCTTGGTACGACAGATTTTCTAGTTTGTGTGTGAGCACACGTTTTGAGGTGACTCTCCCCCCCCAAAATTATCTTCCTTATGTTTTCCTTAAAGAAATCTTAAAATCTTGGTTTAGGTACATTACCTCTCAGTGAACTTAACAAGTAAGGAGCTGCACAAAAATACTTAACCTGAAGTTAGTGGTAAATCTTTTTGAAGCGAGACTGGTAACATCCCCTTTAAGAGCTTGGATATGTAGGTAGTTTATTTGTACTAGATGATACTTGCTCACCTGTTTTCTCTCCACAAGGGCATTTGTTAACTGGTGGCACAGGCCAGCAACTAAATACAGTTAAAAAATGAAAAAGAAACACAACAGTGAAAAAAATCAGTAAAATGAAACTATAAAAAAATATTAAGTCTGAAAGTAAGCTTAACTTACAAGTGTCTGTTGCATATCTAATGTGTTCCCCATTACAAGTGCTGATAAAAAGCTGCACTTGTGAGAATAATGTTTCGAAGTCAGGGATGCTGGGCATAGAAAACTTCACAAACCTGAAGTAAAAACAACAAAAAGGTTTAACACTTAACATTTGGAGAATAATAAAAATAGTTACAATCATAGTAGAAACTCTGGCTAATGATGGCGAATTGTAATACTCAGCCACCCAACTTCTCTGGATGCTTTTGCCTCTCCTACAGCCATCTCCTTCTTGAACGTGCTCAAGATTTCTCAGCTATTAAATTATTAAATGTGCATCTCTTGTTAGGAGCACTTTCTCTTCACTCCCAGGTTTTCTCTGTCTCTGGTGGTTGCTTCATTCCCTATAGATTTGTAGCCTTGCGCACTGCTTCTTCCGTAAGATGAACTATCATTATGCTCATCTGAGGGCTATGGATCCTATCAATGTCACAGAAACACATAAAAAACCCCTCTTTAATGCTGTCAGAAGGTACCCAACCCTGCCCCACACTGCAGTTGCTACACACCATAATGTGCAGTTCAAACCCCCCCAGATCCTGAACTGTCCGGCCCCGCAATGCTTCTGACTGTCCCGGTTACGTGCTGCCGCCCCTGCCCTGTCTCTCCAGGGAGTCGTATTCTACCAGCGCAGGGTTTGCCATGACACAGCTTCAGCCAGGAGAGCTCTCCCCTATGCACTCCACTGACACCGTCTCTTCAAATACTACATTTTACCTATTATTTCTTATAAACAGTTCTCTTCCTTCCTCCAGCTGTTTTAACGACTGTTTTCATGAGCCCATGATACAGTTCTGCTAGCACTGTACCGACGCCCTGCTTTTTGACAATTCCATAACGCATTTTTATGAGATGCTCATTAATTGTAATATTAAGTGCATTATCTCAATGTATTACAGTCATTTTGTTTCAAAAAGGTAGTAGAACAAGTACTAGAAATCTGATATTTCCTTTAGAAGAGAACCTTAAAATAACAATGGAACCCGCAGACGCTTCCCTTGAAGTTAGGTACAGCTAGAAACAACAGTTTGAGCTTCAGAGCCAAACAGCTTTACCTCACCTCCGCATCACCATGGCAATTCAAGTATTGTCTTAAACTACAGACAGCAGCAAGAGCCTCAACGCTGTCCAGAGACAAACACCCCAAGAACTACAATAAGAACCCATGCTTCACTGGAAAAAAAAAAAAGGTGTTACTTCATACTTACAGTTTAGCACACTAATCCCCTGACAACTAAGTTTTAAAAGTTATGTTTTATACCTTTTTGGAAAACACTTAGGGAAAAATAAAGACATAAACAAGAGAAACACAAACCCCCAATATTACCATCTGACAGTAATGGCATTTACAAGCTCCAGAGGTTTTTTCTTTTGAAAAAAGAAACTTGCCGTGGTATTTCTATTAATAAAACGTGCATCACTGAAGGAAACTAAGCACCATTCTAAGAAATGCAGATTGAAAACATTTATGGCTAGAAGTAAAAACATTTGGTTGACAATTCAGCCTGTTGCCTGAAGTTTTAATACTAAGATATTTAATTAAAAGAAAGCAACACTTACAAGACAGCAAGAACGCCTAATGAGTGTTCCTGCACATCCAGGGCACCAAGCACTGTATCCAGGTGGGAAAGATTTTTTGCTAGCAGTTCTCCGCTTTTATTGATCAGTTCACAAAGTTGGGTCATTTGCCCTGAAATACAAAACATCATCGTCAGCCTCTAATTAGAGAACACTGACACATTCCCATACTTCATTACACCTTGCTTCTCTGTATATAACCTGAGGAAAAAGCAATATCACCCAGAGAATTTACTTTTCTTTAATACTACAGGCATCAGCTTTCAACAAGTGAGGTACCCACCATATGTTTTTTATAAGGTGACAGCTAAGCTTCTGACCCTCGGGGCTGCAAAGAAGGTCCTCAGAACACAAACACACCAGGAAAAGAGCCATCAGCTCACCTGGTTAGAGAGGGGGCTTCAGGGTCTCATCAACGCCAAGCTCCAGCTAAGCCAAGCCTACAAATCTTTGACCAGTGTACTGTGATGCAAAATTTTGTCCTGTGGATAAATTTATCTACACTTGTTCCTTCTACGTGTTATAAGGGAAAAAACAAAACAGTACCAAAACCAGTTTCCTCCCAACACCAGAGCTTGTTCCTTTCGCCTTCTCAAGTGCCCTATGTGCTTTTCAGGTCTGCTCATAAGCATTTTTTTTTTCAAGTAGACATTAAAATTACAACTAAGAGCCTACAACAAAAGGATCTTTAAAACAATCTGTTATTAAATTTACTTCATATAATTAAAACTACAATATTATTCTATTTGTTGGGAGCTATAAACACAGTATGAAAGGGAATTATTTTGAATTAGGAAGGTACAGTAAGCCCCCAAAAAAACTTACAAAGAAAGCAGACTAATTACCATGAACTGCTTTCAAACTCTTCCCCCCTCTCCAATTACTTGAATTTGGACTGTGTCTTTCTGAAGCAGAGTACTGTTTCAATGTCCAATCCTTGCAGATTAGAGGGAAAAAAACAGAGGTTCTCTCACCCTTACAAAAATCTTCATAAAATGAGGATTAGTGCCTCCATTCACAGAGGTTTACACTATCCTCAGCTCTCTGGCCTTTTCCTTTGACAAGGAAAACATGGGAAGCCCTAGCAATGAAACATTAGCTTTGAAGTAATAGAAGGATCAAAAGTTCCAAATGAGGGACCAGAGCCCAGGAACTCCAGAAACCCATCCCCAAAACTGCTTTATTCATACGGAATTAAAACCCCAGGCGTAAGCATGGAAAGGAGTGGGCTTGTAAAACACTCTATGGTTTGATACTGGTATTCAAGCATTGCAAAGCCTCGGTTCTTTCTGGTGTCCCCCCTACCAGAGAAATCTTCCATTCTACAGCTACCATCTACCACTCCTCTAAAAACAAGGAAAAAAAAAAAAAAAAAAAAAAACCGAAAAAAAACAAACCCCAAAACAACCCTCTACCCACAAACACACACTGAACAACTTACAGTGCAAGCGGAAATATCCACACGGGGCCCAACCAAATGTCCATTTATGTCACCTCCCAGGCAGCCAAACGCTGATAACCAGAAACCACCACCCCCAGTACAGGTACTTCTGTGTGCTCTCAGAACACCCAGCAGCCTGCATTTACCTTCTCACAGAGAATGTCTATCTGGCTCATCCCTAATGGGAGAACTTCTATAAAATGTACCAGTTTCTCCTTGAACCTTTTGCATCTACAAAACCTTGTTATAAGAAGTTCCCCAGCTAAACAACACATGTAAAAAGAATCATCTTTCATCTGGTTTGTACCTGCACCTTGCAGGTATAGTTTGTCTCTTGTATCTGATAATCCCAGTAAAAATACTCTATATTCAACAAATTAAAGCAAAGTAAGAGAAAGTTGGAGCTCCACCCAAAAGTAACTGCCAGACCTAAAGCCTGGGGCCACAGAGGAAAGCATCAATTTTTCATCAGTTCCAGGGAGCAAACATCTTGTGCAGAGAAACACTCAGCAGACGTTTTTGGGAGCATCAACAGAAAGTTCAAGAACTAGGAGATGCTGTACTCAGAGATAGGAAAATCAGGAGTTTGGCAATGAAACCCAGGAATTCTAACTACGGTTATTAAAACACTTTCTGAACGCTCGGTTATGGGAACTCTGACAGACAGTCTCCTAGGCAGGACTGTTCGGTCCATACTCTACTTTGTCCCCAGGCGCTAACACTTCTGAAACGTATTGTAAAACACACATGTCACAAGCTGAGCGTTCAGCAGCTAGGCGACACGCTGGGCTCTACAATCCCCGCTAAATTCCCTGTGATGCCCCCTCTTCCCCCCGATTTCGGCACCACGGCCGGTACCTCCAGCTACTGCAAACCACCGCGTTACCGCTGCCCTGGAGAGGAGGCGCGGAGCACCACCGGCCCCTCACGTCCTGTCAAACCCGCGCCGCCTGAACCCCTCCGAGGACCGAAGGGCCCAAGCAGCTCCCTCAGGGGGGAGCAGGAACGCCAGACCCGCGCCTGAG